AAAGCACATAACATTTAAGCATTAGAATTAGTTTGCCTGAAATGCATTGCATACTTGTGGCTTTCTTCTGCGCCTACCAATGTTCTACAACATGTAAACTACATTATCTGTACTGCACTTGCTTGATAACAGCAGAGATGGATATTTGCAGAAAGTCATGCCAAAGCACCAATGCACTGATTGATTTCCAGAAAAATGGTATTTACTGCACACTTTAGGGGCCATGATACTTGTTTATGTGGAAGACTGTGTAATTATAACACATATGCAGTTATGAAGGGTAAGTAATCCAGAATTAATGTGAAAACACCTGTAAAACGTTCAAACTGATGAGGAAACAAACTGCAGCACAGTATAAACTCTGCTACTGGCTGAGATGCTACCACAGACATTCAACTCGTTGCTCAATGGCTGCAATGACATCCTCACAGACCCATCACTCCTATTGGCTCAGATGCCTTCGAAAATGCAAGGCACTGGATTGCTGGTTGGCTAAGGCCCACCCACACAAGAACTAATGCTTCTATTGGCTCAAATACTGCCCAAGAGGCAAACTACCATATCACTGACTGGCTGAGGATGATGCGCTCCGATCATAATGAATAATAATAATAATATAATAATAATAATAATTTTTTTTTTTTTTTTTTCAACAAGTCGGTCGTCTCCCACCGAGGCAGGGTGACCCAAAAAAGAAAGAAAATCCCCAAAAAGAAAATACTTTCATCATCATTCAACACTTTCACCACACTCACACATTATCACTGCTTTTGCAGAGGTGCCCAGAATACAACAGTTTAGAAGCATATACATATAAAGATACACAACATATCCCTCCAAACTGCCAATATCCTAAACCACTCCTTTAAAGTGCAGGCATTGTACTTCCCATTTCCAGGACTCAAGTCCGACTATATGAAAATAACCGGTTTCCCTGAATCCCTTCACTAAATATTACCCTGCTCACACTCCAACAGATCGTCAGGTCCCAAGTATCATTCGTCTCCATTCACTCCTATCTAACACGCTCATGCACGCTTGCTGGAAGTCCAAGCCCCTCGCCCACAAAACCTCCTTTACCCCCTCTTTCCAACCCTTTCGAGGACGACCCCTACCCCTCTTTCCTTCCCCTATAGATTTATATGCTTTCCATGTCATTCTACTTTGATCCATTCTCTCTAAATGACCAAACCACCTCAACAACCCCTCTTCTGCCCTCTGACTAATGCTTTTATTAACTCCACACCTTCTCCTAATTTCCACACTCCGAATTTTCTGCATAATATTTACACCACACATTGCCCTTAGACAGGACATCTCCACTGCCTCCAACCGTCTCCTCGCTGCTGCATTTACCACCCAAGCTTCACATCCATATAAGAGTGTTGGTACTACTATACTTTCATACATTCCCTTCTTTGCTTCCATAGATAACGTTTTTTGACTCCACATATACCTCAACGCACCACTCACCTTTTTTCCCTCATCAATTCTATGATTAACCTCATCCTTCATAAATCCATCCGCCGACACGTCAACTCCCAAGTATCTGAAAACATTCACTTCTTCCATACTCCTCCTCCCCAATTTGATATCCAATTTTTCTTTATCTAAATCATTTGATACCCTCATCACCTTACTCTTTTCTATGTTCACTTTCAACTTTCTACCTTTACACACATAATAATAATAATATAATAATAATAATAATACTAATAATAATAATAATAATAATAATAATAATAATAATAATAATAATGTATGCATTAATGCTTTATGTTTGAACATATGAACTCCAGCAAGGGAGATGCAATACCAGGCTATAATGCAATGCCTCATATCATCATCATCATAATCATAATTATAATATAAATTTTTTAATACATCAGCCATTTCCCACCAAGGCAGGGTGACCCAAAAAAAAGGAAAAATCCAAAAGAAAGAAAAACTTTCATTATCAGTCAATACTTTCACAATCACTCATACATAATCACTGTCTTTGCAGAGGCGCTCAGATACGACAGTTTAGTCACTCCAAACTGCCAATATCCCAAACCCCTCCTTTAAAGAGCAATCACTGTACTTCCCAACTGCAGGATTCAAGACCGGCTAACCGGTTTCCCTGAATCCCTTCACAAAATATTACCCTGCTCACACTCCAACAGCTCGTCAAGTCTCAAAAATCATTTGTCTCCATTCACTCCTATCTAACACGCTCACGTACATTTGCTGGAAATCCAAGCCCCTTCCCTTGCCCACAAAACCTCCTTTACCCCCTCCCTCCAACCTTATCAAGGATGACCCCTACCCTGCCTTCCTTCCCCTACAGATTTATATGTTCTCCAAGTCATTCTACTTTGTTCCATTTTCTCTAAATGATCAAACCACCTCAACAACCCTTCTTCAGCCCTCTGGCTAATACTTTTAGTAACTGCACACCTCCTAATTTCCACACAATGAATTCTCTGCATAATATTTACACCTCACATTGCCCTTAGACAGGACATCTCCACTGCCTCCAGCTGCCCCCTCGCTGCAGCATTTACAACCCAAGCTTCACACCCATATAAGTGTGTTGGTATCACTATACTTTTGTACATTCCCTTCTTTGCCTCCATGGATAACGCTTTTTGTTTCCACAGATACCTCAATGCACCACCATAGGCGTCATAAAAGGGGGGGGCCGCCCCGGGTGACACCATTTAGGGGGTGATACCATAGAGCCTCTAAAGAAGGTGACACTAATGACCAAAACTATGCTGCAGCAACCTAAGAGAAAAATTCTTCGTTTCTATACATTATAGCCTATTATAGGATTACAAATACAAACAGGCCTGTATAGGGAAAATCATTGATTTTGATGATGTGATAGATGATTTTGCAGGATTGAAGGCAAGGAAATGAAATATCATATTCTTTGAGATGTTACCTGTACTCAAGGTTAACTCGGAACTAGTGTTTTTCTTTATTTTTCCATTTTTTTTCATTGTTGAAGATGAATAAATGTAGGATCTGTTGCCTATACTCAAAGTGGTATTTGAGTATATTTTTCCTCAATATTATTACGATTATTTATTTTATCATTAATAAAGTTCAGTTTATGACCTTTAAACGTTCTCATTGTTAAACATTAGTTACTGGTCATGCAGCAGTGATGTAACTGGAGTTTACTACCCCCATACCCCCACCCTTGGATTTCATGGGGGTGACACCAAAGATGCCACCCCGGGTGACACCAATTCTAGCGATGCGTCTGTGCACCACTCACCTTTCTTTCCTTCAATTCTATGGTTAACCTCATCCTTCATAAACCCATCTGCTGACAAGTCAACTCCCAAATATCTGAAAATATTCTCTTCTTCCATACTCCCTCTCTCCAATGTGGTATCCAATTTTTCTTTATCTAAATCATTTGATACCCTCCTCACTTTACTTTTATCTATGTTCACTTTCAACTTTCTACCTTTACACACCCTCCCAAACTCGATAATAATATTAATAATACTATTAATATAATAATAAAATACACTCATAATAAAATACTAGTAAAATAATATTAAAATAATAACAAAAATAATTTTTATTTCTACAAGTATATGATACGACTATTATAGACCTAGCTGACATCAATGGCATATTACTGTATATAGAAAGCCCCTAATTATGCAGAGCATTTTTGGGAAACTTAGGTAAATCTTGTTCCCCAGAATGTGACCCACAACAGTCTTACCATTGTAAGCATATCATTTCTCCAATTTTAATCGCAACTCAAAACAAAATTCCTCTATTAGGATAAATTGCAACTGCAATTTATTTTAACTCCAGGGACCACTGTATTTGTAAATAATGTACAGAACATAAAAAGTCACTTTGAATTGGCTATTAATTCAAAGCACTACTGTTCATCTATTTCATACTGAACCTAAACTTTATTACCGAGAATTCTTGTATATAATGAAGAGATTTATGATTCTGGATTTTGCTATGAAACTTTCTTTGTTCATTTTGCAAAGGCCATCTAACCTAATACACAAATCTCCTATCCAACCTGAAAGTCAATTTATAAATAAACAAATGGTTGTGTTTTATTTTTGCCAACCCATCAATGAGACAGTTTCAATGATGAACTTTTCTAATACTTACATGTGACAAGGGTACCTTTTAAGTGGATGATGCAAGGACATAACCATTGTCTTTCAAAATAAAAATAAAAATCTTCAGAGAAAATATTACCAATATAAATAAAATAGTATTGGTTATATTTTCCACTCTTTACCTACATTGTTTTTAGGACTCATGGTGAGCTGAATAACAAAGATTGTGATGATAAAGGCCATAAAAAATTGTCAAAAAACTGTATTTCAAATTATAGTACAAAGAAAACCATAGTTATTAAAACCTTTACAGATTTTAGAAAACTTTATTGTTAAAAATCACCAACCTACCTCTCAAAGGAGAATCAACAGATGCCTTTTTCAAGAAAATTACTTGAATGAGCATAAATTTATGGAAAAAAAAAAAAAAAAAAAAAAAGTTCGAAAATTTGAGAAAAAGGTATACGTATAGCAAAAAAGAGAAAAGCCTCTTATAATATAAAGCTGAAAATGCCTAATTTTTTTATGCTAATTCCTTCATAACAGTGGGTGTGTGAATTAATGAGATTGTAAAACAAACAGGAGTTATGTTTTATCATAGAATATGTATTAATTATTTTTTAGAAACTGTATAAAAATTACACAATTAAATGAATTTTTTATTACTACCTAACATTTAATATTAAGTTTACTACACTGAAGACCGAAAGAACTCTCTTGGGCATTATCTTTATCAGGAATATTAATATCTTTATGAGGGATAACAATAACAAACACTGTCCTCGTGTTTCTACAAAGTTAAAAAAGTACAAGAATCTGGTAATTACCAATGGAAAAGTATGCACATGAGATGAAACCTTTCATGTTTTTTCTTATAATAATATTTAATAATGGAAAAATACTTACATTGACTTCTGAATAGACGATATCAATGAAACTGCCAAGGACAATGACGAAATCAAACACGTTCCAGGCATCACCAAAGTAATACTGCAAATTCAGCATAAAGTGATACAAACATTAATTACATACACCTAGCTACACCAATAAGAATGACTTCCTCTAGCCATAAAATGACCAATTATTTATATTACTGAAGAGAGACTAGAATCACAAATAAATGTAAATTTTTAAGCATATACAACAATGTTCAATTTAGTCAGCAAAGTAAAAGGTGGCACTGTAGGATCAGGAACAAGTAACAGAAGCAATTAAAATTAATCTTATAAGAAACATGGGTAAGACATGGATACTTTAACAGATTATTTATATAACTCTTCATGTACAATACACATAAATAATGATTACAATTATATTAACACATTGGCCATCTTCCACCAAGGCAGGGTGGCCCGAAAAAGATAAACTTTCACCATCATTCACTTCATCACTGTCTTGCCAGAGGCATGCTTACACTACAGTTATAAAACTGCAACATTAACACCCCTCCTTCAGAGTGTAGAACTTCCCATCTCCAGAACTCAAATCCAGCCTGCCAGTTTCCCTGAATCCCTTCATAAATATTACCCTGCTCACACTCCAATAGCATGCCAAGTCCTAAAAACCATTTGCTCTATTTGCTCCTATCTAACACGTTCATGGATGCTTGTTGGAAGTCCAAGCCCCTTGCACACAAAAACCTCCTTTACCCTGTCCCTCCAACCTTTCCTAGGCCGACCTCTACCCCACCTTCCCTCCACTACAAATTCATACTCTCTCAGTCATTCTATTTTGTTCCAGCCTCTCTACATGTCCTAACCACCTCAACAACCCCTCCTCAACCCTCTGGATAATAGTGTTGGTAATCCCACATCTCCACTGCCTCCAGCCTTCTCCTTGCTGCAACATTCACCATCCATGTTTCACACCCATATAAGAGCATTGGTATAACTATACTCTCATACATTCCCCTCTTTGCTTTCATGGACAAAGTTCTTTGTCTCCACAGACTCCTAAGTGCACCACTCACCTTTTTCCCCTCATCAATTCTATGATACACCTCATCTTTCATAGACCCATCCGCTGACACGTCCACTCGTAAATATCTGAATACATTCACCTCCTCCATACTCTCTCCCTCCAATCTGATATCCAATCTTTTATCACCTAATTTTTTTGTTATACTCATCACCTTACTCTTTCCTATATTCACTTTTAATTTTCTTCTTTTACATACCCTACCAAACTCATCCACCAACCTCTGCAACTTCTCTTCAGAATCTCTCAAAAGCAGTGTCATCAGCAAAGAGCAACTGTGACAACTCCCACTTTGTGTTAGATTCTTTATCTTTGAACCCTACACCTCTTGCCAAGACCCTCGCATTCACTTCTCTTACAACCCCATCTATAAATATATTGAACAACCATGGTGACATCACACATCCTTGTCTAAGGCCTACTTTTACTGGGCAATAATCTCCCTCTCCCCTACATACTCTAACCTGAGCTTTGCTATCCTCATAAAAACTCTTAATAATAAGACCTCTACAGGAACAACTGGGGACAAAATGTTTTTTCTTTTTTGACTTTTTAGCAGATAAATACAGAAGGGGTTTTCTAGCCGCTTGCTCCTGGTATTTTAGCCTCTTTTTACGACAAGCATGGCTTACAGAGGAAGAATGCTATAGCCCACTACCCCTAAATCTCTTTGGCCAGACTTAAGTAATGGAGATGGAAAGGGCAGTGCCTGCATTCTGAAGGAGGGGTTACAGTCAGAGGAGAAATCTGGTCGTGATGTTAGCACATTCTGGAAAGACGCAATTGAGTAAATGTTAGTGCACTAACGTTTTTCGTTGAGTCATCCTTCCTTGGCAGGAGATGGCCACTGATGTAAATACTATAACATACTGTACCTAGACAGAAGCCTACATAAGGACTGGACATAAAAAGGTTCAAGTGAAAAGCACGTTAACCAACAGAACATCACATTACAATCCAAGATGAAAATATTTTGTATCTAATTCCTACAAACATTTTTAAGAGTGAAATTCATTTTTTATTTCAACAATTCGGCCATCCCCCACCTAGGCAGGGTGACCCAAAAAGTAAGAAAATCCCCAAAACGAAAATATTTTCATCATCATTCAACACTTTCACCTCACTCATACATAATCAGTGTTTTTGCAGAGGCACCCAGATACAACAGTTTAGAAGCATATATAAAGATGCATTAAAACTGACCTGAAATAATATAATACACTCCATATAGAATATAACATCAGGGCCCCAATTATATATGTACGTATATACCATCCTATTACACATCCCTCCAAACTGCCATTATCCCAAACCCCTCCTTTAAAGTGCAGGCATTGTACTTCCCATTTCCAGAACTCAAGTTCAGCTATATAAAAATAACCTGTTTCCCTGAATCCCTTCACTAAATATTACCCTGCTCACACTCCAACAGCTCGTCGAGTCCCAAAAACCATTCGTCTCCATTCACTCCTATCTAACACGCTCATGCACGCTTGCTCAAAGTCCAAGCTCCTCCCCCACAAAACCTCCTTTACCCCCTCTCTCCAACCTTTTTGAGGATGACCCCTACCCTGCCTTCTTTCCCCTACAGATTTATATGCTCTTCATATCATTCTATGTTGATCCTTTGTTTTTTTTTTTCAACAAGTCGGCTGTCTCCCACTGAGGCAGGGTGACCCAAAAAGAAAGAAAATCGCCAAAAAAGAAAATACTTTCATCATCATTCAACACTTTCACCTCACTCACACATAATCACTGTTTTTGCAGAGGTGCCCAGAATACAACAGTTTAGAAGTATATACGTATAAAAATACACAATATATCCCTCCAAACTGCCAATATCCCAAATCCCTCCTTTAGAGTGCAAGCACTGTACTTCCCATTTCCAGGACTCAAGTCCGGTTATATGAAATAACTGGTTTCCCTGAATTCCTTCACTAAATATTACCCTGCTCACACTCCAACAGATCGTCAGGTTTCAAATACCATTTGTCTCCATTCACTCCTATCTACCATGCTCACACACGCTTGCTGGAAGTCCAAATCCCTCGCCCACAACACCTCCTTTACCCCCTCCCTCCAACCTTTTTGAGGACGACCCCTACCCTGCCTTCCTTCCCCTACAGATTTATACGCTCTCCATGTCATTCTACTTTGATCCATTCTCTCTAAATGACCAAACCACCTCAACAACCCCTCTTCAGCCCTCTGACTAATACTTTTATTAACTCCACACCTTCTCCTAATTTCCACACTCCGAATTCTCTGCATAATATTTACACCACACATTGCCCTTAGACAGGACATCTCCACTGCCTCTAACTGCTTCCTCGCTGCATCATTTACAACCCAAGCTTCACACCCATATAAGAGTGTTGGTACCACTATACTTTCATACATTCCCTTCTTTGCCCCCACTGATAATGTTTTTTGTCTCCACATATACATCAATGCACCACTCACCTTTTTTTCCCTCATCAATTCTATGGTTAACCTCATCTCTCTCTTATTCTTATCCTTCATAAACCCATCTGCTGACACATCAACTCCCAAATAGTATCTGAAAACATTCACTTCTTCCATACTCCTTCTCTCCAATGTAATATCCAATTTTTCTTTATCTAAATCATTTGATACCCTTATCACCTTACTCTTATCTATGTTCGCTTTCAACTTTCTACCTTTAAGCACCCTAAATATGCACTGTATTCCCAACCTCACTCTCTTCCATGCATGTTTCTTTTCATCTTCCTTTCCTTTCATCTCCCAGCTGAATGTGGCTTGCAGCTGAAACACTGCCAGTAATTTCAACTATTACTTTATTTGCCTTGCAATAACTGTACTTACAAACTGGTAATCACTCTCGCTCACACATGTACGCAATCACACCAACTCTTACTTGTGCTCCCTTACACTCTCGCACAAAACTATGCACCACATCAACACAACCCCAGGTAGTCATAAATGAGCGAGTCCATCAATTCTTTTTAGAATTCATAAACTAGGTTTCAAAATATGATACCATACCTTGAACCTGAAGGCCATTATCTTGAGAACAAATTCAAGAGCAAAGACAGCAGTGAAGATGAGGTTGAGAATGTCAAGGGCATGAGTGTAAATTTCTGGTTCCCCTCGAAATTTCATTGCCAAAGAGACAGTGTTGAGCATGATGAGGACGAAGATAGCATATTCAAATGGCTGTGAGGTAACAAACCACCAAATTTTATATTGGAACCGGTTCTTGGGGATATACCGTCTAACTGGTTTGGCTTTGAGAGCAAATTCTATGCAGTTTCTCTGTGAGATAAAAGAAAAAATAATACATTAGTGATATACTCAACTCAGTGCCAATAATTTGGTGAACTTGGTATTCAGCATCCATAACATAATCATATACTAAAAGAAAAGTGGATAATAATAATAACCAAAAGTAAGTATTGCATTTCCCAGCATACTATATGGAGTGCCTTTTTTCCCACAATAAGCCTTGGAAAATCACCCTGTGCCGTATATGCTCAAGGGCAGGGTTAAGGGTAGGCTTTGGGTTGCATTTTATCACAAAGTATCAGCATCATTAGCCTTTGAATATGATTACTGATTTACCATTATGATACTTCAGTCATGCACCACAGATGTTGGAAAATATGATATTAATTTAGGCTTTATGATGGTAAACTCTTAGATAATAAGCAACATATTCCTTTACCCAATTCTGTTTATTAAAGTTTAGTTACTACAATCATAAATATTACTACTTCAAACATAGTTCTTACACCAGTTACAACTTCTACTTCAACTAAAGTCTGCAATTCTCCCAACAAGCTTAAGAAAGTTGATTATTGTAAATACTGCTATCTTTGCTACTTAATATCAGACTAGAAGTATGAAGGAAGTGAATATATACTATTTACATATTTGGGAGAGGACATGTCAGCAGATGGGCCATGAAAGACAATGTGAACCATAGAATAGTCGAAGAGAAAATAGGTAGGTGGAGTGTTGATGCATAAGTGGAGACCCAAAATGGTTTATCTAAAGAGGCTAAAATAGACATGTACCAAACCTTTCATTTGGGTGTGCAGCATGGGTTTTAATATTGCAGAAATGAGAAGGATGGAGGAAGTGAAGTTATGCTTGTGAGCAATGTGTGATGTGAATATTATTCAAAATACTCATAGCACAGCAATTAGAAGATGGTGTGGGGCTACAAAAGGTATTACTCAAGAGGGTAGAGGAGAGGATGTTGCAGTCAGACATTTAGAGAGAATTTTGCAATGGTTTGGAAATTTAGAGAGGATGAAGTAGAATAAGATGACCAGGAAGGGGGTAGGGGTCATCCCAGGAAGTGTTGAAAGGAGGGTGCACAGGAAGTATAAGTGGTGTGTCTTGCATCCAGCAGATCTGTTTACACAGGGAAATCAAGGTGAGTGCTTTCAGGGATTTGATGTACCATCTGAGTGTGAGCAATGTGACATTAATGAAGAGATTCAGGGAAAGTGATTAGCTGGACTAAAATTCTATTAGTATGAACAGTGCTTGATCTATGAATGAGGGGTGAGAATGTCACAATTCAATGGGAGTCATTTGAACTGTGATGTATGTGCACTTACTGAATGAATGAGAGATAATGTTTTCTTTTTTTATGGTTCACCCTAAATTGGTGGGAGATAGCTGATGTAGCTAAAATAATAATAATAATAATAATAATAATAATAATAATAATAATAATAATAATAATAATAATAATAATAATAATAAAATTAAAATAATGAAATATTAATATCAATACTACTAATAATAAATAATACCTTATTTCCAATGAAACAGTTTTTACAAAACTGGTGACATTTAACAGTACACGTGGAAAGTCCCTGGTTATGCAGAGCATTTCGGGTAAGCTAAAACCCAACAAAAGATTAACAGAACATGATAGAACATAATAAACCTTTCACAAATGTAGTATACATATATACAAAGGAATTAAAGATATATACAGAACAAAAGTAATTATAATGAATATAACAAAGACTATGTAACCAAAGGATTTAAAAATCTGTTCACTCACTATTATAAGTATCCTGCCACATTCCACACAAGAACTTTTTCAAACTCACTCCCACTAGGCAGGGGCAGTGCCAAGGGGGTGGTTGAGGGCTTCAACCCCCAAAGCCCACAATAAAAAATAATAATAATGCTGCTTTAAAATAAGTCTCCTAGTCTCCCTTCCACTGAGATAGACACCCCTAAGGCTTCCCAAGTATAAAAATTCTGGCATCACCTCTCCTAGGAGAAGACATGATAGATGAGTACAAGATAAAAGAGATATGAAAGAACAGATGAAGGAGATTTCTGAACATGATCAATAGTTGTAAACAAAGGAAGAAGGGGGTGCGAAAAAGATAACAGAAGCTTTTCTGGAAAAAGTTTTAAAATAATGGAATGAGTTACTGTACATTTAAGTTAAGTCAATCACTCAATTTTCTACCCAAGTATTGAAACCACCTGACATAAAATAATGATTAATTAAATTCTGAAGATGAGACACCACAATCATAAGTCTGTTCCTGTGGTTACAAAGAGATAATGATAAAGAGGTAATTACACACCCCCAACCTCAACTGTTCACCTAAATACATTATGAAAAAACTGAAAAATAAGATTTCCAAGCCTCATCAACCGGCATGAGGCCACACCTATGAAATATGGTACCAGTGGTTGGTTCTGAGGATTCTTCTTTCTTTATAGCATGGCCTAAAGACAGACTTCCCTGCTGGCTGCCTGATCAACTAGGCTTTTGCTGCTAACAGTCTGCATGCCCACAGCCATTACATCATTAAACAGGTTGAAAAGTCTTCGACCAGAGATGGTGACACTTTTTTTTTTAACTGTGCCAATTCAAAAATATCTAAACAAGACAGGACTCACAACAATGGATTCAAGTTGGACAAATTTAGATTTAGAAAGGAAGTAGGGAAGTACTGGCTTGGCATTAGGTTTGTAGATGAGTAGCTTTAAATGTAGCTTGAACATGTACATAAGTGGGTGTGGTTGGATGTGAGTTGAGCCTACCTACCAAACTTTTCTTTGTATATGTACGTAGTGGTGGGTCACTGGAATATGGATCAAGAAGAAGTGATGCATGCTACATCTACTGAGAACTTTATTATACTGTACTGTACTTTATGACTGACTAAATACTCCTGCAGCTACAAACAGATTTTCACATCATAACTATAACGGAAAAGAAAGTAGACTCCTTAAGATGATGCATTAGAATCCCAGGGAATTTTTTTTTTTTTCAACAAGTCGGCCATCTCCCACCGAGGCAGGGTGACCCAAAAAAAAAGAAAATCCCCAAAAAGAAAATACTTTCATCATCATTCAACACTTTCACCTCACTCATACATATACGTGCATATAATTTTTGTGTGTTCAGAAAAACCAAGTGTGAACAGAGTAGACTATAATCTTTCAAAACTGTCCCACAGAACACTTTGTGGAAGGCAACTTGTAAGGTCACCCTGTCTGACTGTTACCCAGGGTTGTTCAGCTGAACACTAAAATTGGTTCCTCCCTATTCCTTACCACACCACAAGTCTGAAGATCTCTTAAGTCTGTCAAGCTTATGAGAGAGGAAAATATCTGTTGCAGTTTCAGGTAATTAAGATGGTTAAAATGCTCCTCAAGGGTGTTGGTTCAGGACCTCACCAAGCTGTTTGTTCATGTTGTCTAGTTTCTACCAACCTGAGACACTGACTAAGGTTAAGCAGGAAGTACCTGATGTTAACACAAAGGTTGGTTTATCTTTGCTAATCTCCCTTCTTCCTGGTTTGTCCTTAAGAGCCATCTTGGCAGGACAACATGCTGTGCACCAAAAGTAGTCGAAAAGGAAAGCTATAATTTTTTTTTTAATGCACCAGTCGTATCCCACCGAGGTAGAGTGACTCAAAAAAGAAAAACTAAAGTGTTTCCTTTTACATATATTAACTTATACAGGAGAAGAGGTTACTAGCCCTTTGCTCCTGGCATTTATTTGCCTCCCACAACACCCACGGCTTACGGAGGAAGAATTCTGTTTCACTTCCCCATGGAGATAACAGTAAATAAAGAACAAGTACTATTAAGAAAATAGAATAAAGCTCAAAAGAGTGTGTATATATATGCATGTACATGCATGTGTAGTTTGGGCTGAGTGTAAGTAGAAGTGGCAAAATATACCTGGTATCTTGCGTGTTTATGAGAAAGAAAAGGTACCAGCAATCCTACCATTATGTATAACAATTACAGGAAAGCTATAATTATTTTTATTAATGTTTCATGATCATCATTATAGATGTGCATCAAGAAAGTTATAATCTGGCCAAAGTAAACCAATATATTACTAATTCACTATAAATGCCACAGTTGTATATCATGTCACAAGTAAATTTTAACGATTGATTCTTATCATTTAAGAACAACAATAGCTTTTCTTTTTTGTGCCAAAATTTTGCATATATGTATATATATATTGTGAGTGTGATGGTGCTGTTCTCCATGGGGAAGTGGAACAGAATTCTTCCACTTTGAGCCATGCATGTTGTAAGAGGCAACTAAAATGCCAGGAGCAAGGGGCTAGTAACCCCTTCTCCTGTATATATTACTAAATTTATAGAAACTTTTGTTTCTCTTTTTGGGCCACCCTGCTTCGGTGGGATATGGCCAGTGTGTTGAAAGAAGAAGTGTTGGTGCTGTGTATTTTGTGTGTGAGGTCATTATGTTAGGAAGTGACAATCTCTTGAATTCATCTGGGCTGAAAGTGGAAGGAGAAAGTGTGAGAAAACCTAGGTATAACCACTATTCCTTCCTCCCTGATGATCCTGCCTGGCTATAGACAGGATCACTAATGCAAGCTCTGAGGTGGTGTTGAGCACACCACAGAGCCTGCATCAGTATGTCACTTGTGATCATTCTTTTCCCTGGTGTTCTTAAGAAGTCAGTCTCGATTCCTCTCAAAATGTCCTTAGCTAATGCATGTATCGTGAAAAATCTTGGCTAACCACTGCTTTGTGATTGTGTTCTTCTTCTTTATTTTCATTGCTATTCCATCAAAATAATGTGAAACTAAGAATTAAAATGTGAGGGCAAATCTATAATGTCAGTTAGATTTTTTTTAGTAATGTCTCAGAACTCATTATTTTTTATATACTGTACTGAAATTCCATCTATGCTTATGTATAAAACTTCTTAAAATACTTTGCTATATTGTTGCAACCCCTGAATGGTTGCAATGATTATTATGTATATATATAATTATT